GACGCACTGCTGCTGCGGACGTCATCGGAATGCATTCTATTCGACACGTCACAGTACTAGACGCTGCAAACCTCTGTACTTTACTGAAACTCGTGACTTGTTGTCTACAGTCTACAGCTGTTGATTAGAGTGCAGTTTTATAGTCTACAGCTATTGATTAGTGTGCAATTTTATATCTGTTTGGGTCTGTTTTTTAAATTACAGTTGAATTTGCACAATACAGCTGTGTACGGTTTCAGATCATACAATTTGACCTGTCGGATTTTGGATCAACGTACTATTTTACATCATGAATAGTAAAACATTTCGCAGTCTCAGGCCCTGGAACGTAATAGTCCTGGACAACTTAAGAGTGGTTTAGACATGCCTACACTACAACCTCAACCACCGTCTAAACTGCGACCTCAACCACCATCTAAACTGCGACCTCAACCACCGTCTACATTGCGACCTCAACCACCTCCTAGGCTGAGACAACGACCAGCGCCTCAACAATGCCCAGAAGAAATTGAGATGAAGAGGGTAAGTAAGAAGGCTATCATAGGATTCACTGTGTTTTTTCAACCATCATTGGTCATTATTACACTAAGCTTGCGTTCATATGTTGAGCATTGTATTAAAGTGTTTTCTTATTCTTATGTATCATCAACAGGAGATCACTCGGAGTTTCCATAACAGAATTGTGCTGAGAGAAAGGTCCCGATGTCCAGCCAAGGGCAATGTGTCAAGCTTCCTCCTATCCCCGGCTCTTCCCGAGATGACAGCTCAAACCTCAGCCAGAGATTTGAAAGAGTCCTAAAAGACCAAGACAACCTCATTAAGGTGACTACATATAACATATATATATATATATATATACTTGACTCTCAGTTTTACTTCTACAACTTTCATTACAGAGCCTTGGAGTAACAAATGTGTGTGTGTGTTTTACAGAGTTTTGTGAATGAGCTGTCGGAGATGGAGCGCACTTCTCATCAGCAGACCAGGGACAATCTGTTAAAGTTTCATTTGAGTCAGGTGAAAGAACAAGCGCTCGACTTCAAAACCAGACTCGAAGAACTTCGCTCAGAGTATTATACTGAGAGGTAACACACACAAACAATCACACAAAAGTACACACACAAACAATCACACAAAAGTAGTGTTTTGTTTTCAAGGGCTGGCCAGTTTACCAGTTCCTGACAATTTAAATCAGGTCATTCTTTTTAGGATATACCTTTTAACTTTAGAAAATGCTGAATAGACAATGATGTTTACACTGTTTTCCCACCAAAAGTGATGTCATGAACAGGATTACACACAAAAAAACAGTATTATATTGTATAAAAATATCTAAATAGGGACATGAAAATGCATTGGCGAAGGATTGAGCCAATGTAGTAACATCTGTGTTATTTCTTTTCATTTCCAGGAAGCTGATTGTTTCACAGTGCGAGCAGCAGAGTGCGTATTTGAAGGATGTAATGTTTTTCCATTAGAAAGCACTACGCTAAGATTGGCGCTGAGGCGAGACGTGACTACGAGGACATTTGCAAACAAATAAAAAAAAGGTACTGGTTTTATTATGTTTATATTTATTCATTTGGCAGATGCTGTTATCCAAAATGACTTAGTAATGAGGAACATCACCAGCAATTTGTCATATATATAGTGCCATATTTATGGGTTTTAGTAAAAAACTAGAATTAGTCAACAAGCTAGGGCAAAGGAAAAATACAAAAAAAGAAGAAAAAGAGAATAGAGTTCAAGTAAATGTCTTGTTTACAAAATCATATTTATTGGATTAACCTAAAACATGCAGTGCAATTCAAATATAAATAAATCATGGATTACAAAAATACTGATTACACAAATATACAAATGTATGTAGGAGTTTACACGTGTACACTAGTAGTACTTATCAAAAGTTTGGAAGAATAAAGATTTATTTCTCTTTAAAGTCTTTAATGATCACCAATGGAGTAGAGCTAAGGGAGCACAATGACCAAGTCGGCCAGACAGAGTTTAGAGTTTTGAAAATGTTACTACAGATTGGACAAAAGGATGTTAGCAGTTGGGAAATAAAACATAATCATAAATCAAAAACATAATCTTAATAATATGTTGTCTGTTTATTTCTGCAGCACAAAGGGGAATATAAAACTGTGGAAACACCGAAGAAAGAGGTCACTGAAGAACTGAGGGAATTCTGGAAGTGTGATGATGTTTCATGCGAAAAAAAGAAAGAAGAATCTGACTCTGCTTCTCGAGTTTAAAGAGGTGGAGACAGATAAACAGTGCATTCAGGAATTGGAGGTCAGGCAAAAATTCATTTGTTTCTGTCTAATTTGGACAATCATTTTTCTTCGTAATGGATGGCTTGAGGCAAGCAGGGAAGGAGCCAAAAGCAAGGTTTAATATAACTTAATCAAAACTCAACGCACAAAACAACAACAACACAGAAAAAAAACAGTCGGTCTGCCCCCGAGCCAATGTGTGTGTCTGCCACCGAGCCGGTGTGTGTGTCTGCCCCGAGCCAATGTGTGTGTCTGCCCCCGAGCCAGTGTGTGTGTCTGCCCCGAGCCAATGTGTGTGTCTGCCCCGAGCCAATGTGTGTGTCTGCCCCGAGCCAGTGTTTGTGTCTGCCCCCGAACCAGTGTGTTCGGGGGCAGACACACACACTGGTTCGAGCGCAGACGCACACACTGGCTCGGGGGCCGACACACACATTGGCTCGGGGCCCGACACACACACTGGTTCGGGGGAGACACACACAATGGTTCGGGGGCAGACACACACACTAGTTCGGGGGCAGACACACACACTGGTTCGGGGGCAGACACACACACTGGTTGGGGGCAGACACACACACTAGCTCGGGGGCAGACACACACACTAGCTCGGGGGCAGACACACACACTAGCTCGGGGGCAGACACACACTAGTTCGGGGGCAGACACACACTAGTTCGGGGGCAGACACACACACTAGTTCGGGGGCAGACACACACACTAGTTCGGGGGCAGACACACACTAGTTCGGGGGCAGACACACACTAGTTCGGGGCAGACACACACACTAGCTCGGGGGCAGACACACACACACTAGCTCGGGGCAGACACACACTAGCTCGGGGGCAGACACACACACTAGCTCGGGGGCAGACCACACACACTAGCTCGGGGGCAGACACACACACTAGCTCGGGGGCAGACACACACACTAGCTCGGGGGCAGACACACACACTAGCTCGGGGTAGACACACACACTGGCTCGGGGGCAGACACACACACTGGCTCGGGGGCAGACTACTGTAACAGGGTTTTTCTGGCAAAGTAAGTGCCATTTTCGTGGCCGCAACATATATATATATATATATATATAGACAAATTAATAGAAAGAACAGCAAAGAAATTTATATTTTTGAATAAAATCTATAAGAAAGTGAGACATTGTCTCACCGCTCATTAAGAAACCGCAATTAGATCCAAATAACTTGGCAAATTACAGACCCATTTGAAATCTTCCATTTATGTCCAAAATACTTGAAAAAGTAGTGTCCGCTCAATTGTGCTCTTTTTTGCAAGAAAATGATATCTATGAAAAATTCCAGTCAGGATTCAGACCACATCATAGTACAGAAACTGCGCTAGTTAAAATTACAAATGATGTACTTTTAGCTTCTGACCAGGGCTGTATCTCAATACTAGTCCTACTTGATCTTAGCGCTGCGTTCGACACTATAGATCATATAATACTCTTGGATCGACTACAAAACTTCACCGGTGTCCAGGGACAGGCATTAAGCTGGTTTAGATCGTACTTATCGGACCGTTCTCATTTTGTCTGTTTAAATGGGAAAAATCAAAGATAACGTCAGTAGACTATGGAGTACCGCAAGGATCGGTTTTAGGCCCTCTGCTATTCTCAATATATATGCTGCCACTTGGTAATATTATAAGAAAACATGGAATTAATTTCCACTGTTACGCTGACGACACTCAATTATATATTTCATCACGACCAGATGAAAACACTAACTCATCTAAAATGACAGAGTGTCTCAAAGATATAAAATGCTGGATGACGCGTAATTTCCTGCTATTAAATTCAGATAAAACGGAGGTATTACTTATTGGTCCAAAAAACTACTCACAAAACCTCTCACAATACAACTTTAATATAGACGGATGTCCTGTTACTTTATCCACAACAGTAAAAGACCTGGGTGTTATACTAGACCGCAACTTGTCTTTCGAAGATCATATTTCATATGTTACAAGAACAGCCTTTTTCCACCTTAGAAACATTGCTAAGCTACGTAACATGCTATCTGTTTCTGATGCTGAAAAATTAGTTCATGCATTCATGACCTCAAGACTAGATTACTGTAATGCTTTATTAGCCGGTTGTCCTGCATCCTCAATAAACAAGCTACAGTTAGTACAAAATGCAGCTGCTAGAGTTCTTACTAGGTCAAGAAAATATGATCATATAACACCGATTTTATCATCTCTACACTGGTTACCTATTAAGTTCCGCATCAACTACAAAATACTACTACTGACCTATAAAGCCCTAAATGGTTTAGCACCTATGTACTTAACGGACCTTCTTTCGCCCTACAATCCACCGCGTTCCTTAAGATCACTAAATTCAAGGCTTCTGGTCATTCCTAGGATATCGAAGTCCAGTAAAGGAGGGAGGGCGTTCTCGCATTTAGCTCCAAAACTCTGGAATGGCCTTCCCGATACGGTCCGAGCCTCTGACTCGCTGACACAGTTTAAAACTAGATTAAAGACGCTTCTCTTTAGTCAAGCATTCACATAATGCTTACCTTCTAGTCCTCTGTTATGCCATACGGAACCGTTTGCCACTGAAACTGCTTAACGCACCAGTGGGGCTCGACAGCCTTTTAGACAAACGGGTCGGCGCGTATGGTTGGGTTGCGGAGAGTTCAGGTTACGGAGAGTTTGTGAGTTATAACGGAAATCATTATGAACATCAGCTATGCTAATTATTTCCCATCTGCCTTTCAGCTGTTATCTCGGGACGCTTGTCCCGAGAAAAATGGCGTTCGTCAGGTCCAGTTTTGTGTCCAGCCTCTCACGGGGATTTCGGATGCCCCAACGCCTGTGATGAGACGACTCAACGCCTGTGAAGAGACGACTCAACGCCTGCGATATGTTATGGCGCCGTTTGATTCATAAACAATATTTATATTTAATATTTATATTTAAACAATATAAATGTAAGCCAGAGGAGAACTGGCCCCCGACTGAGCCTGGGTTCTCCCAAGGTTTTTTCTCCATCCAATCTGATGGAGTTTTGGTTCCTTGCCACTGTCGCCTTGCTTTTGGCTTGCTTTGAGCTTGCTCAGTTGGGGTTATTTAGTGTTTAGCAATGTTGTTGATCTGTGTTGTGCTACTTTCATGTTATCACTGTGAAGCTGCTTTGATACAATCTGTATTGTGAAAAGCGCTATATAAATAAATGTGACTTGACTTGACTTGGTGGCTTGATTTATTTTATTAATATTAATTTTTCATTATGCAATGTGAAGAGACTACAGGTTACAAGCTTCATATATTAGAAAAATACAATAATAAAAAAACAACACATTTTTTAATGGCTCGTTGTAAAGGTTGTTTCAGATCAACACCTGCAAGTGACCACTTGGTGTCTCCATGGAGACGGGTGTCGGATTGATTCGAAGCGTCGAAACAAAATGGCACATTTGCTTCAACTGTTTCATTGCTTCATTAAAGGGTCATGAAACCCCCCTCTTTCAGCTCAAATCTAGCTCAAAATCTTTTTGAAAAATGCAACTTAAAAGGGCGTGGCTAGCTGTGAGAAGAAGGGAGGGAGTGTTTGTGGTATGGCCATCACGTCAATGTCCCATGCAGTGGTGGAAAGAGTACTGAAAAAACATACTCAAGTAAAAGTACCATTACATTCCAAAAAATGTAGTGTGAGTAGAGTAAAAAGTACTTGTCCAAAATAGTACTTGAGTAAGAGTAAAAAAGTAGCTTATTTAAAAGTACTCAAGAGTAGTGAGTACTGAGGTGCAGATTCTAACCCTTATAGTAAACACTGTGCACTACTTTTATAAATTAAAAAAAATGCACATACTGTAATTCACATTATATTTTGTTCTTTGTAAGAACAATTGAAGAATATCTATCATCCATCTTTTTAAAATGCATCAAATCAGTACACTCATCACCATTTAAATCATATTATTTGGGGGAAAAGCATTTAAAATTAGGCGACAAGCCACTGGGCCTGAGCATGCTATTGTTGCACATAAAATATCAATATTCATAACTGTGCAAAGAATTCAAAAACCTTTAGAAACTCATATGATAGTTCAGCATCACACACCAAGAGATGGGTTAAATAGAGAGATGAAAAAATACCCAATTTCTCTCCAAAACGGTACCAATGTTAGTGTTTTGCTAAATGAGAATCACTAATATTATCATATTACCTCAACTAATGCACTGAAAAAGGCTAAGACAGTGAGCTAACACTAATTACACACTTTAATATTAAATATGTTACAATTTAAACGTAAATGCAATTGTTCTAGCTAGGGTGGCATCATCTCTCACATTTTACACGGCTACATTACTCACATTGTAATGCTGATAATATAATTTGTAAGCAAAATTGTGCATTAAATAGGGAAGTTATATCCAGGAAACTTTTACAAAAGAAACAAACAAACACACTTTGTCTCGGCGAAGCTGTTTTATCAGCAGCATCCGATTCCACACACACACAAAAAAAATGTTTTCGCGGAAGAAGTGCACTTGCCAAATGAAGACGGATCGTATAATGGATCAATCATAAAACGTTGTTTATTAACGAGCTGTGCTAATTTCTTATTAAGAAATGCAGTTCAAGTTAACGACATGGTGCACTGATTCTGAATCTGGCGGCATGGCGAGCGCGAGACGCGGCAGTGTTCACTGTTCAGATCGTGACGCGCGTCTCTCTTTAATGTGATTGTGAAGCAAATGGGAGCGGGAATTCACTGCATTATGAACTCTGTATGGGCTATATGCACGCAAAAGTTCCGCATTTGACGTAAGGATGCTCGTCCATTTCCGGTTGTGTAGATTAAAGCGGAGGAAAACCGGAGAAAACGGGATTATGGCAGAGTCTTCAATATTTACTGTCCTCCCGTCTTTGAAACGAAACGTACATACGTTTAGATGTAATTTTATATATAGTTATGTTTATTTAATATAATTTTAAAAAGAAGCAACAACACAACGAGGGGTGTCTGTTTTATGTTTTTGTGACTAACGTTTCATTAGTATAACCATGGAGTATAAAATTCAATATAAATTCTCGGTATTGCATTGGACTCTATGATCGGCGGAAGTTATCGAGCATCCTTAATCCTTCACC